TGTGAAAAGTGGTGGCTGCCCAGGTGGGGCGAAGAGGGCTCCATTCTCACCAGGGTCTGGGTGGCAGGAGGACCCCGTGGCACCCACTGGGGAACCCACACATGAGTCCCTTTAGAGAGCAGGTGAGTCAACCTCCAGCAGCCGGAGAGGCAGCAGCAACCACGAAGGAGAGGGTCACAGGTGCCAGACGGGGAAAGATGTGAACTGGGTGTATAATTACGTTCCAAACTGGACGGATGAACGAACATCAGCACTGAAAAGGCCCCAGACATTTCTGTTATCTGCCCAGGATGGCATAAAGAACCGGGAAAGATGGATTCACCGGCACAGCGGAGACTGGAGGGGAGGGAAGCCACGCTGCATTTGCACCCACGGAGGACAGGCACCCAGGGACCCAATGCATTACTGAGAGGACCCGTGTCTGCCCCTCAGGGAGCCTGGCTGGCTGACCCCCGAAGGCGGCAGCTGAAACTCCCTGAGCAAACCAGGTGCAATTCGGGCTGGTCACCTACGCAAGCTTTAGAGAGTGAACTATGGTTTTTTAAAAATTGAATTCAACAGGGGTTATAATGAACACAGTGACAGTAAAAATTAAAATCGAAGTACCTGATTGTACTTGGGAGTTCGCATTCCCTTGAATCTTACTCTAGACAAAGCTGTGATAGCCTGAGACCCCTGGGCCCCTGAGGAGTGGGGGGTCCGTGCGCCCCTGCAGCTGCACACAGCCACTTGTATTATGTCTGTGCATGTGGGGTGTGGGACGGAAGAAGTCTACAGCTTTCACCAGACTCTCACAGAAATACTTGATCCCGAAAGGCTAGGAGACACTTATTGGTGTTATTAACTCATTGAGAAATTCCAAGTCAATACAACCATTTCTAAAAAGAAAGAAAGTGTCATTCATTGCAAAGGATTCTGTTTCCCCCTTGACTCAGAAATGACTGAGAAACCTTTCTGTCCAGGCTCCGGGCTCACTCCTCTGGGAGCTCAGCCCGGCACCGTGTCCCCCTGGTGGCCGCTGTGAGAACTGCAGCCACAGCCCCTGGTTTAGGGGAGACCTGCAAATCCAGGTAATCCAGGTGATGACAGATGTGACACACTAGACGGGTGCTGGCGTACTGAAAGACAATTTCTAAAAAATTATGAGTACCTGTGTGATGGTAATATACATTCTAAAAACTCAGACAAGAAACTGATCTGGGGTCATTACCTTCTCACTGTGTTCACAAGAAGACAGGTGGGTTTGGAAAAGATAATGCATAAATAACTGCGGTCTGGCCGACAGTGGTCTAATCCAACCCTCTGGCTCTCCGGTGAGGGGAGTGCAGTGCGCAGGAGTTGGGAAACTACACCAGGACAGGACAGGGGGGTAGTGGAAGACGTCAGACCAAATCTGGGGATTCCTGACCTCCAGTCCAGGGTTCCGTTAGGACACTGGGAAGCCCCTCTTGCTGGGGGAGTCAGAAGGAGGGCTGAAGAGACATCTTCTCCAGGGCAACTGAACCCCCTTAGAGTGAAGCTGCTTTTTCTCTCTCTCCCAATAGACATTCACATGTATCCTTGCCAACCTACGCATAGGTGCATGCACATTTGTATCATATTCACTGACTCAGTGAATATTTAGAGAATACTTAGTACGGCCCAGCCACTGTTCGACTCTCTCGGCATAAGGTAAACACAATACAGCCTGTCCTCCGGGATCTTGTAGTCTTTCAGAGTAGACAGGTATCGGAGGGAAAATATTTCCTTAACACTCATGACAGCGGTGAGGCAATTCAGGTGCTCCAGTAACTCAACAAGGAGACAGTGTGGCTCATGGGTGAGGCTACACAAGGATGGTAGTGACGATGGTGGGTCACGTGCAAGGTCATAGAATTTAGAAGCATTCAGAGCATTCAGGGAACTTCTCATACTGCAGGATGTACGGACTGCAGGTGTTGGAGAGGGCTGGCTAAATCCTGGGCTGCCAGGCAGGTGCTGGATGGAAAAGCTGTGGGTATCACGCTGAGCGGCACAGACGTTATCCTGAAAGGCACTGAGTGTGACTTTATCTCCACTGGTGGCGCTGTGGCCGATGAATGGGACGGAGTTGTCTAGGAATCAGGAACGCCAGTAGGGAGGCCACTGTGATCCCCCAAAGACACATTTGTGAGCCGTACTAAGGCGTGGCCACGAGGATGCAAAGTGAGTGGGAACGAGATAGAGGCAGACGGCAGAATCAGCAGGACTTGCTGCTCTCAGAACTGGGAGTGGGGCAAAGGGAGGGGCCAAGGACGTCCCAGGGTTCCTGCTTGGGTAGCTGGGTCCACGGCGGTATAAGTCACCAAGACTGAGGGTACAGGAGAAGAGGGTGACTAGGGAGACAGTCAATTTTAGTAAGTAGGCTTAAAAGATAGTAAACCTTTGGATACAAAGATAAACTTAGGGTCGGGAAGATGTTCAATCAAAAGCTAAACTGTAGGCTGGAACTCTGGAGAGAGAAGGGAGATAGAGGTATGAATTTGAGGGAAATGAGTGCATTAGTGATACCTGAAGCATGGGAGGCTTTGCGGTCACCCGGAGAGAGCAGAGAGAGAGCGAAGGGAGAGGACAGGCTGCAAGCGGAGTGGAGGAGCGTCAACACCGGGAGGCTGAGAGAGGAACAGGGGCTCGTGAGAGGCTGAGAATGGCCAGAAAGGCAGCAAGAAGAGCAGGACAGGGTGACGCAGGAAGGTCAAGGGCAGAGAGTTTTAGGGGTGAGTTTGCCTGAGTAAAAGTTCTGCACAATGCAGTGATGCAGAGCAGAACCAGCATTTAAAACGCCTTTTCAATTTAACACCTGGACAGTCACTGCCGACTTCAGTAGTGAGAGAGAGCTAGAACTTAGATCATACCGGCGTACAGGCAGCTCCGGGAGGAAAGGAGAGGGGTAAGCCGACCGTTAATACTGGCTTCGTAAATGGTGCAGAAGGGCTTCTGTTTTCGTGGGGATATATCAGGCTGAACCCTAGGAAGTGGCTGCAGCCCAAAATGTCAACATAAGAGGTGTCAGATGATGTGACCTCACTGAGTGAGAATGCATGATATCACCTTTACTGGAGCGTTGTGTTCTGCGAGAAACTCGGCCAAGACCGTAACAAAGCATCGCTCTCCAACCAGATCCCGTGCAGGCTAGCTAGGTCACGGCAAAGCCGAGACTGGAGCCAGAAGGCCTGGTGTATGCCTCGGCTCAGCACCGCCGCTGGGTGGTCTGTGCATGGCCCTTAACCTCTTCTGGGCTTAGTTGCCTCTTCTTTAAATACAAATAGAGATCTTGGTGACAATGAAGATCTCCACATGAGTACAGATATCAATATACAAAACAGTGCACCCCCTAGAATTGTCGTCAGGATTACATAAGTCACTTCCTGTTCATTGAGGGAAGAACAGATAAGCAAAGTGTGGCCCGTCCATACAATGAGATCTTGTTCAGCCTTAAGAAGAAAGGACATACCTACACCTGCTGTAATATGAATAAGCCTTGAGGACATTAGGCAGAGTGACATAAGCCAGTCACAAAAGGGCAAGTGCTGTGTGACCCCACTTACATGAGGTCCCCAGAGAAGTCAGATTCATAGACACAGACAGTCGAAGGGTGATCCCCAGGGGCTGGAGGAGGGGGAAAGGAGAGTCAGTGTTTAATGGGGATGGAGTTTCTGTTCGGGAAGACGACAGTTCTGGAGGTGGATGGCGGTGATGGTCACCCAACGATGTGAACGTATTTAATGCCACCAAACTGTACTCTTAATATGGTTAAAATGGCAGATGTGAGGTTATGTATATTCTATCACAGTAAAAATGTTTAACTGAGTTACTTTTAAAGGCACTTAGCAACTGCTGGGCAGTGTTTGCACAGGAAATAGAAACACGATACATCAGCAGAGACTGAAATGGCCCGGGCTGGAGTGGAGGCCAAGAACGAACCCCAAAGAACAAGCAAACGAAAGAATTCGGCAGATAGTCAAGTCAGGAAGAGCCCCCCGTGTGAGGAAGGGAGAGGGAACGAGGTGCCAGCTCGACGTGCGATGAATAAAAAGAACAGAAATGGGTGGGATTCACCTGCTTTTTGAAAGGTGAAAGCTCATTCGGCAAACACCTGTACAGAAGCACCTACCAGGTGCCTCTCACTCTGCTACCAGCAAAACTTCAGGGCAAGCCTCCGGAAAAGAGTCGGCCTCACCGTGAAGAGAGGCTGCAGGGAGACGCCAAGATGCACTGACTGCATAACCATGCACACCCACGCGGAGTGGGCCAGTCTGGTGATCGTCAGGGACATTGGAAATAAAGTGTAATTGCTGTGGCTGTGTTTACCCCTAAGGAGAGGCAGGCCCAGACTGTGACAGGGCTCACAGCCCTCCTCCGATGGAAACCCACTCTCTCTGAAGCCTGTCTGTCCCCAGGGAGAGAAGGCACCAGCAGGTGTCCAAAAGCAGTGCTTCTCCGACCCCCAGCCACACCAGTGCCAGTGCCTGGGACCCACCGCAGCAGCAACGGACTCAGTCTGGATGGAAACTGAACATTTAAACACTCTCCAGGGGATTCAAGCCTGCAGCCAGGATGAGAGCCTCGGGGCCAGAAACGCGGTTGCTCTCCATTACCGATGCCAGGACACCCTTGGGTAGCACAAGGAGGGGATGGTTTGTCTGTGGATCTGACAGGCTAACACAAGGCCAGGAGCCCGAGCTGCCCTGGACAAGAGGAAACCCACCCCCACCTTCTCAGCAGGTTGGCTTCCCAGGGAAGCTTAACCCCCAGGCCCTGGCCGTGCATGTCTAGGGTTGCTCTCTGTCAATCAGCAGAAAGGGCTCCTTAGGGGAGCGGCCCACACGGGTCCCTCACTCGGGAAGGAAACTCCGCCTGTCCAACCAGCAAAAGGGCACTGCCCCAAAGAGTAAGCTGAGGGTCTCTCCAGCTAATCCCCTCCCAGCTCTTCACCACCTGGGAGCTGAGAGAGGAGGGCAGGGTCCGACCCCAGTACTCACTGCTGAGCGGCCTGGCGCAGGGCAGCCTCAGCCTGTGCCCCCAGGTAGACCAGAAGGCTGCAGAGGACCGGCTGCCTGGAAGGAAACTGGAAGCGCAAGCTGCTTTTCTCTTCCTCCAGGTCTTCTAATCTTCGTTTTAATGCCTCAGCTAGAAACCCAAAATGACAAGAGAGATAAGTAAAGAACAGTGAAAGTTAAAACAGACAATCCAGGGTCACACAGCTCCACTCCCAGCCAACGGCCACCTGGGTGACGACGTGATGCACAGGGTCACTGGTTTCTAGGCAGCTTGCTCCTCTCTCCGCTAGTACTTTTATGACTCTTCTGTGTTTCCACTGTCGACAGCATGCTGTCCTCCTACCTTCCCTTTTTCTATCAGAGGGTGCAGTTCACATAGTTATATCACAGTCACTATTCTGATCATCACACAGGAGGATACTTGATATCAATTATTTTTAAAACCACGATGATCATTTGGGAGAAAACCTGCTAATTTTGATGAGTTCTGTATAACCGGTTGAAAAAAATCAGTGCCCAAGTGTTAATTTTAAGAATGTTTCCTTAGAAATTGCCCATCATGAGAGAACCTGTCACACTTAATGGTCACAGAAGCAATGTCCAAATTCTGTCGTGTTACAGGTGGCCGTGTATCCACTTCTGTTATAACATAGGGGTCTTAATAATTTTTAACAACCTTAAGTGTCTTAGGACAAGATACAAATATAAAATCACTGTGAAACAATTTTTCTTTAAAAAATAAACTACAGAAATTGGAATCCCCTCACATGAGAACTTACCTTCATAATCAAACACCCGAAGAATTAAAAAGTTTCCCATTAAGCCCTTCTTGCCAAAACGTCAGGACTGGGTTTAAAAATACCATCCATCAGGGCTTCCGTCCTGGTGGTCCTTGCCAGGGGGTGTGTGGAAACCTTGGAACCTTGCCCCCCTGGGTAGTAGGTGAGCCCTGGGGCCACCCAGGATCCCGGGCAGCCACCTCTGGCCGTGAGCGCCGACTGCCTACCGCAGTGTGGGGTGCACATACGGTCCTTTCCTGTGTGTGCCACGATGAGAACACACTTTAGAGGCTCTGTCCCACATCACAAAGACTCTTCACTATTTCCATAGCCCGACAGCCATTGTCCAAGTCAGCCATTTCTGTGACTCAATTTTGGATCAAAACACTGTTTTCAACAAGCTTATTATTTTGAAACCACTGTGAACAAAGCCTTGCATCATATACCAGCAGAGGTCAAGGCTAATCACAGGGCGCCCCTCCTGTAGAGGGACAGCTCCCGTGCTGGCCCACTGCCCAGACACACCCTTGGATGAAGGAAAGGCTGGTCCCAGGCGTCCTGGGCAGCTCGTCTGGGTCTCTGGAGATGTCAACTGAGGGACCTCCCCATAAACATGCCGTATGCCTTGGGACCGACAGCCAGAGCCTTGCTGAGAGGCTGTGCCAAGGATTCGTTCTAATACCAGAAAGGGTCGTGACCTTACTGCTGCTCAAGACCCACTCACAGGCAACTGCCAGAGCTCTCCGTCTGCGCCGCCTTCTTCAAAGAGACAGCGGGGCCGATTCAGACGCCGTGCTCACAACACACAGCGGAGCCTGGCTCGACGGGTCCTCTAAGGTATGCCCAGAGTCCCTGCTCCCAAACACCAAGCTCCAAACATTTTGTAAAGTTTATTGCATTTTAATTAGTTCTTTATTTTTATTATGTTGAGTATTTTTTTATTACTGAGTTATTTACTTACCCCTTGCCACATCAAACCAGAACTTCCGTGGAAAGCAATAAAGCCCTGACCTTGTGCGCGTTAGGACAACGCAATGCCATCACAACGTTGTGGTAAGGATGCTCACACGGGGCTAAGGAGAAAACGGAGCCTGCACCTCAGCCCCGCCCTGTGTGGCCGTCGGGCCTCCAGGTTCCTTAGCCTTTCTAAGCCTCAGTTCCCTAATCTGTAGAAATAGGACGAACAACAGTATCCACACATCATGAGGTTTTCTGAGGATCAGCTGAGATAATCCATGCAAAGCGGTTAGCACCCTGCCGGGCACCTAGCACGTGCCCTAAGGAGTGGCTCAGACCAGCAGGACCACGGGTCCTGGCCTCGCAGTGTCCACAAGGCAGTTAGGCCCAGCCCGGCCCCGCTCCGCCACGGGCCACATTCTGAGCTGTGCCCCGCCGCTGCTGGGGGTTAGGGTTAGGTGCAGCACAATGAGACACTGAAAAGGGTACATCCGCTGCCACGAGTCACACTCACAAGGAACCCCAAGGAAAATAAGTTCTCCCAGGAAATGTCTGTGGTGAGCTATGTGCCGGGGTGCCGCTGGCTCTCCAAGCTGTGAGCATCTCACGTCGTTTCTGTTCCACGATGAGAAAAGTGCACTAGGATGCTCGCCGTCGATTTTACAGCTTCGTGTCTTCTCTTATTTTTAAAGCATCTCCCACTCCAGCCTCTCAAATGGCCTCGGCTGCTGGGGCTCCACCACACCGGCCAGCACCACCTCTGCTACACACATTCTACGGGTCTCCCCAGGTGACACTCGACCTTCCGGGCAGAGGGGCTCAAGGCCAGGGTCAGGAACCAGGCGGATGTGGGCACCCAAAGGGCTCTGGCGTTTCTGCTGCAGCAGATGGGACAGGACCCCCCAGAGGGTTCAGCACAGTGCGTGACAGGGTCGACTCCTGATCAGCAGGGAAGCCCACATGCTCTGCCAGGAAGACACTGTGAGCGGCAGAAGCCCGGAGTCCAGTCCCGAGGCTACGGCAGGGCCCGAGCCCACACCTAAGGGAGGCCACAGAGAAGTGACAGTGGGCGTCAAAAGGCGCTCTGAGTTTGGGCATGCTGGACAGACTGGACAGAGGGAGCAAGAGAAAACAGAAGTCGCGAGGGACTCCAGTGGTTACGGCTGAGCAACCAAATAAGGACGTTAGCGTGAGCCGAGCTGGGGAATGTGCCGCTCCCTCTCCCAGAACCCACCCCCCATGGTAAGTCCTGCTCTTCCCTCCATCGGTCCCCCTCCCGGCCCTGCCCTCCCTCCGCTGGAATCCCCGGTCTCAACGCTCCTTAAGCTCACCGGGCTTCCCCTGGCACAAGGGGCCTCACGCTTGTCTCTGACTGTTCCAGGCCCCCATGTCCGTGACACAGGGCCCATGTCACCCTGCCTGTCTCGGTCTCAGGGCCCGCCCCGGGAGCACCGCCTGAGCCAGCATGAGCAGGCACGAAAAGATGCACAACTGAACTCGAGCGAAGAAGCCCTCGTTTCATTCGTTTTGTGCGCTTCCACAAGCCGCTTTAAATCCGCTGTATTGGCCACTACGTGAATGTAAAACGTAAAACTCACCAAGTGGAAGGTCAAACCTAAGCTGGAGGAGACGAAAGGGACATGACGACTGTACTCATGTGTGTCCCCGCACCAGAGAGGAGGGAAGGACAGTGTTGGGTGGCCGGCGCCATTGAGAGTGGGGTCGGTGGACCGGCTAGGCGTGGCGTGCCGGCGCCGGTTTCTTGCCCGGGAGAGCGGCAGGTTGGCGGCAGGTGGAATGTCCTCGTTTGGGGAAATGCTCGAGGGCTCCTTGGGGCTGACGGGGCATCACGTCTGCAGCCGCTCTCAGGCGGTCAGGAAAAGGCTCGCGGGTCCCGGATGTGGACCCAGATCAGAGTGAGGGAAACACACCAGCTCTCGGTCCTCACTCGCAACTTTTCTGTCCATGGAAAGTTATGTCGAACCAACTGCTTTGTAAAATTATAAATAAATCAACACAGCACTATGAAATGCTGTATTTCTGAGTTGTAGGTCCCCTTATCTGTGTGACCCCCTCTACTGTTCTCTTCAGCCCAGGGGCTGAAGAAATACAACTTGCTTTCTCTGGCTTTTCCTTTCTCTTAAACCTCTGTGAGCTTTCTGTGGACTCTGTTCATCTGTTCCGGTTACAGCGCAAGATTCAGAGCCAGAATTATAGAAAGTGCTGCACAGCCCACGCTGAATCGAGGTGGTTGACTGGTCATCGGACTGACAGAAGAGCAGCAGTATTAGAAATTTTGGCTGCATTTTATAAACATAGCTGAATAGTAAAACAAAGTTATCCGAGGAAGCTATTACCAAGCACTAAGCATGATTATGTGCTGGATAATACATTCTAATTGATACTCTATATTCAATTTACATACCGGGCATGCTTTGCCTCTAGGACCCCAGCATTACGAACAGTAACCATCCTCTCATTCCATTTCAGATCACGTAAATGTACTTTTGATGCTACTATGACATCCCTATCCGTGTTTAAATAGAGGGTCAGTGCTCGTCTGTTTTCCTCAGCACGTCGCTGCTGGAGGCCTGTGACCTGGGGGACAGTACAGAAACAGAATGGGAGAGAGGCACTTTCTACATATATGAATAAACAAGCATTCACAGATCAGCAAGAAATCTTCATACGCAAAGACATCCCGCCAAACCGATTCAATCCCCACCACCCTGTTCCATCTGCAGGACGACAGACGCTACAGTGTAAACCGTATTCTTTCTTGGCTGTGCGGCCACTCCACACCCTAAGGAGCAATCTGTGTCTTCATCAGTCATTCTTCCTTCCTTCACCGAACAGCCAAGCCATGCTATTCACGGGAAGCTGAATATGCTAGTGATTCCACATCGCCATGCACATCCCGTGAAGATGACCGGTTTACAAAGAGTCAGGCTGTAACGAAATGTGGTTCAGACCAGTGCGAGCACAATGGAGCCAGTCTCGGACACATCAGAATAGCAGAATCTGTCAGGTTCATTATCATAAAAATCAGCCACTACTGGGACGCTGAAGACATCAAGCATAATAATCATCTTTAAGCATCTCCTTTATGCCCGACACTGCGCGTACATTATTTCTGCGCCTCACAACAACTTGTAGAGTAGGAATAAAGATGCAGAAGCTCAAGTGCAGAGAATTTCAATCATTTGCCCAAGGCCTGTGAATGAGGAAGCAGCAGAGTCAGGATGTGAACCTTGACTTTTTCTGGTGCCAAACTCTGGGCTTTTTCTGTGATGCTTCCTGGGAGCCACGCTGTTCCCCTAGATTCCCCATTCATTGCTCTGGGTCCCTGGGGATTTGGGGACCCGCTGGGCAGGCCCGGAACCTTAATCTCTTC